GCCTTTGCTTTATTGATGTAGTCCGGTTTGTCCATGATCACCGTTAGGCGTCCCTTGTCTGCCGGTAGAATCACGATGTTTTCATCCCTCTTCAACTTGTTCATTGCTTCTTTTTCTTTGCCGGAAAGCACGTTGAGTGATTTGTTGCGTGCGATGGCTGGGACGATAGTTTGACGAAGTTGCTGCTGAGCGTTTTCGTCGAGTCCAAGAGATTTCATCGCTGCTTCTGGCTTGGCTTTGATGTGAAAAATGCATCCCATGCGTTAGCGTCAATGCTTCAACGAAGACTACCGAATTACTTTTGAGGCCAAAATTGACACTTGAGAGATTTCATCGCTGCTTCTAGGCTGGCTTTGATGTGAAAAATGCATCCCATGCGTTAGCGTCAATGCTTCAACGAAGACTACCGAATTACTTTTGAGGCCAAAAAATGATTGACACTTGAAAATTCTTTGCGCCAGCGCACGTAGCTGTTCTGTTGATTATTCCGTATTAATTTACTCGTCAAAAGGGGACAATTAGGGTCGAATTCCTCAGCCAAACGAGGGCTCATTCGGTACTAGCTGAACTAATTTCAGAAACTCACTGAATATATGATTGATTTTTGTTGCCACCATATGCGTTCTGCAACTTCAGCAGTTTTGATAAGTACGCACCCGTCAAAGGTGATAATTCCCAATAAGGTTGAATCATCTGTATAGCGCTTCTCGGCATTTTAGCACAGATTGGCCTCACTGGCAGGACGAAATTTCAATTGAACATGACTACATCCCCTCACACCACCATCCTGTGTCAAAACGCTCGTCGATTAATTTACTGACTCGCTATAGTGGGCCTTGTCGAAGCTTGGGTGATCCGAACACAAGGAACAGCTGCGGTGAGCCATTAGGATCGAATACCCATACAACTGACCTAATTTACCTCATTTGGCACGACTTTGTTTACGACAAAATTTTTTTTCGAAAAATTATGATAGGCCGATAACGATAGAAATTAAAATACCGTTCCGTCGACTGTTGGAATCACTCTGGCCATGTGTCAACAAAACCTAGCTTAGTCCCCTTGTTGTGTAAACGAAATTCTCGCGAACTTATACTGTATACAAAGGATTTTCATTTCGAAGAATCGATGGATTTACTCAATACAGAGTCCAAAAACCTGAATTGGTTTCAGGTTTGTCGACTCCCGTTAGCTCGATCAATAACATCGCCAGTCTTCCACACCGTGAATATTATCAAAACCCCCAGAAAGTTCACGATGAAGTATATTGTTAAAACGAAGTTCCATGTTTTCTGTATGTGATTAGTTGGATTGGAAACTGGTCTAGCCTGCTCTCCGAAAAATCTTCTCCGGAACTGGAGCATCCACTGCAGTATTGAAAATGTACTAATCAGGCAGTTGAGCACCTTTCTGCGGATTAAATCACAGCATTCCAATGTACGAATTATCTGCACTGGACAAATGAATCATTCCACACACACCAAATGAATATTTTCACTTTGTGTGTGAATGGTCAAAAGAACTGTTGACATTCAGGGAGTGATCGATGGGTTTAACTCAGCTTCATACAATAAGGGTGCCCGTGTCCTGCAATGGTTGTTCAATACTACTGTCCGTGAGCTAAACGGCACTAGTACCAAGAAAATTCTGAGGGTTGTTGACAAGCTGTATGTCCAATGATTCGGAACTGCGCTGAGCTGATGAAGTGACCAATATTTCCATACTGACATTGGAGGACTATCCTAGTAGATTTTATCAAAGCTTGTTGACGGTTTTTGTCAAGTGTGGAAGGGTCCCAGTAGTTTGGTTGCCATGTGAGTGAAACCAGTAGGGACATTGGCCATCCTTGAAGTTTTTGTTGAAGGGGTAAGAGGCTTTTCAGCCAGTCTGCTCCGTGGTACTGCCGCTGAATGTAGGACATATAGTGTGTCTTTTTAAAGAAGTTGCTATGACAGACCTAAGGTATTTTGTCACCGAGTCATCCTATCGACTAGTTTCATGGTTGTCGATCTCCCTGGCTATGAAGAGTGAATACTGATAATATCCGCTTCCAAATCTCTGGCTTAGAAGGCAAGCAACCTGAGGGGACGCTCGAATGAGGAACAAACGTGTTACTTTACAAAAAAAAACATAGGAGCTTCATCTCTTCACAGTCCGAAGAATATCGCTCAAATGGATGGATGGCCAGCCGGTGGCCTGAGGGCTGATATACGGAAAAACAGAATTATCAGTTAGGAGCGCGACACTCATGGAATCAAAACTGCTCCCAATTTTCCCTGCAGATACGTCCCAATAACCACTTGCTTTCCTTCTGTCGACCAATGCTTAGGGAATGAATAGGAGGTCACTGTCAATGGTACGGAAAATGTCAACTTATCGAAAGGCAGTCGGCAGCCCACACCTGCTTACAACACCTGCACATGTGTACCCTCTGGATTAATGGGCAACCGTTGCTTAAAGCTAGTTATTTATTAGAATTCAATAGTTGAAGCACGCGAACGAAGTAAATCGTTTTGTTTGCTTTGCCTCCGAAGGTGAATGACGTCTTTGCAAAACCAGAACTGCTACACACACAACCATTGACGTGTCATTATAGAAGCACATT